TGATTGTGAGTAACCTGGTGATTTTTCCAGCAACGATGCCTCAAATGCAAAATGCTTTAGGGAACACATGTAAGATCAATACCCATTAACAATTTCTCACTTGCTCAAATGATGTGCTAACCAGTCACTTTATAAACATGCTAAAAATGTTTCAACTTAATTTCCACAGTGTTTCCAGGAGACGAGTCCTTTGCCAGATCCTACCAGTGTTGGGATGTCCCATCTGCTTGGCCAGCTCAGCCCCCACCTTGCCCCACGGCCTCTCCCACCAGCATCAGTGAGCACCCATTGTTGGCCCAGCAAGGCAGCTCTCAGGGGCTTGCGGCTCCTTGGCCCACCTCCCACTTTTCTTCCAAATGAGCTCTTCAGCCTGGCACTTCTAAGCTAACGAGCCCCCACCTTTCATTTCCTCCATGACTGCTCACCACTTTCCCATCTACCCAGGCCCCCTGTTAGTCTAGTCCCTGACGCCCCGCCCCGCATCACCCCTGCAGCAAGCCCCAGGCCCCCTCTGAAGCAGCCCAGCCTCCCAGCCCTCAGCCCTCAGACAGCACCTGTTACCTGGTCAAGATGCACCCAGGGCTGTAGGTCCCCAAGGGCAGCACTGTCACCAGCCTTGGTGTCCCCAGCCCTCAGCAGATGCTCAATAAGTAAGGTGACCCTATAGCTGAGTGTCCACACCAGAACCCTCTAGAGAGCGGCCGGGTTGAATGAAAGCAATAAACTGTGTTAAGTGAGTGAATAAGTTAGTAAATAAGGGGCGATCATATGGCTATCACTAACACTGGCCCAGAAGCCAAGTTCTTAGCTGCAGGCTCTGTACCTTAACTCAGAGCCCAAAACCAAACACAAACACTCAAGTCAAAGGGAAGTGAAGCAGGAACCTGACTTCAGGAGGGACAGGCACCAGGTCAGCTCCCCGAAATCTCTGCACTAAACAAATAGCCCATCACCAGGTGTACCGCAGCCCCCGGGGGCCAGGGGAACCCCACAGCACCTGTCCCACAGTCTGAGGGGCGACACCCATCAGCCAGCTGTTGACTACGTTTAATACTGCATTAAAGCTGGAGTTTAACTTCTTACACAAACCTTAGCTGGGACACACTGGGATATTTGCAGCTCACTCATTCAGTCAACTGCAGGGAAGTGGCAGATGCTTTGCTATATATATGCTGGTTTTTCAAAGATGGGCAAGGCATGGCCCAGTAGCCATAAAACACAGGAGCGAATGCTAAGTGGTGATGGTCACAGATACCAGCTACAGCAGTACTGTCTCTGCTTTTGTCTGGCAACAAAGGAGCAGGTCCTGCCAACCCTCCCGGGGATGTGAAGGACACATTTCAGGTGGAGGCAGTGACGAGATGCCAGGCTGCTCCCCTACTTCATGCCCTGCTGGCCTGTTTCTGATGCCGTGACCCTCAGGATACCAGGCGCCACTTGGAGATGCACTGGAGGCTTCCATTACCAGAGGAAGAGACAATTTTTTTAAAATTAGGAGCAAACATATTAATTAAAAAGCCAAAGTATTCCATGTGCTGAGGACAGCTGAATTTGGAGTAGAGATGAGGCAAGCCTGGCAACTTCACCACCGTCTGGTGACGACGGGAGAAGTCCTATTTGAATCCTGCCCAGCCGCTGGCTAGGAGCCAGCCTCGATCAAGTGCTTTTGATTGTTTAACACATTTATCGAGATATAATTGACATACTATAGTAAGTTCAGCTGTTTAATGAGTACAATTCAATGGTTGTTAATACATTCACAGCACTGTGCAACCATCACCACTATCTAATTCCGGAACATTTCCATCACCCCAAAAAAAAAACCTGTACCTCCCCCGCCTCTGGAAACCTCTAATCTGCTTTCTGTCTCCATGGATTTCCCTGTTCTGGACGTTTCATAGAATTGAAACCCTACAATATTTGCCCTTTTGTGACTGACTTATTTTGCTCAGCATGTTTTCAAAGTTCATCCATATTGTAGTGTATATCAGAACTTCATTTCTCTTTACGACAGAATAATATTCCATTACATGGATATATCACATTGCGTTTATGCACTCAGCCATTAACAGACACTTGGGTTATTTCCACTTTTTGGCTACTGATTAGTGCTACTATAAATATTGGTGTACACGTTTTTGTGTGGACATGTTTTCCGTATGCTGGCGTTTTGTTGAGGGGTTTTTACATCTATGTTCCTAAGGGATGTTGGTCTGCAGTTTTATTCTGGTGTCTTTGGTTTTGGGGAAGAAATTATTTTAAGTGGAAAACAGATTTATTTTAAAAAATTTTATTTATTTTGTTGTGGTGAAAATAAATTAATTTTTTAAAACATAGTTAAGGGTATATTTCAATATGTACTAGAAGAATACTAACTTTTCATTTGTGACAATAACAAAGTTTCCTTTTAAAATACACTTAAACAAAAGATATATCAATTTATAGAAAGCTATTAAGGGGCTGCCATGAGACTGAATCCACTAGACAGCAATGAGTTGGTTTTGTTTATTAAGTGAATGACAGACTGGGTGTGGCTATAGGAAAAATCATAGAAATGGCCTGACCCTGACTGGAATCTTGAAGCCCCTGGTGTGGTAAGAGGAGCGTGGGGTTGTGAGTGTTACTCCTGTGTGGGGCCCTCAGCTCTGCCTGACCACCTGTGGCAAAGAAGAAGAAACAGAGGGTCCATGTGCTTCATTACAACACACATCTCTCACACTGATTAGCAAGTCCGTCTATCTTGAACACAGAACACAGTGTTCCAAGGGCACTAGGATGGCTATTGCTATCTCGGACTACTCACAGAAACACAAGCTCCCCCTTGCTTCCCCATCTTTGATACCATCTTTAGAGCCAGAGGGTCCTTGCGGATGGGGGACGAAGCCCCGATCCCCAACGACAGGCTGGGGGCCAGGTGGTGCACTTGTGATGGGCGAGTTCTCGTGGGCCTTGGGACACTGTCCTGCTCAATCCTGACACGACTCTGGCCTGAGCTCCCGGCCTCGGCAACAGGAGAAAGATGCCGAGCTGTGGGGACAGGGGTTCAGGATCGTAATCCAGCCAGTTGTCACCCTGAAGGCAAGGGAGGAGAAACATAAACAAGAAACAGGATGCAGGGCCCCTAAAGCGAGAATGGGTGAGGCTGCAGGCGCTGCATGGAAAGGCAGCGTGGTCCCCTCTGCGAACCCACAGTCGTTTCCCGTCCTCACCTCAGCCAAGCCTGCTCGGCGGCCTCCTCAAGGGGTGAAGGGCTTCTGCGGGCCCCATGGTGCAGGACACCGTGTCTGCGCAGTGACATGACCCCCCCACCATACACTCAGGGTTTACAGCCTGCTCCTGGGTCCCAGGTAACCCTTTAGCAGCACTGGGACATGGCCAGGAACTGCCCTGGCCTTTGTGAGACTCGGATCTGGCCAGGGTGGGCAGCACATCAGCCAGGCCTGGATAAGTCCATAAGGGTGATGCACACAGAGAAGCTGGATGAGGGCAGAGCGTGCCCACCTTCTCTCCAGCACCCCAGTGACCATCCTGACGCTGACAGAGGGGGATGGAGCTCAGGTGGCACCCGCAGCCCCTCTGCACTTGGCCATCGCCTCCAAGTGACCATCGCCTCCCCCACCCCCCAGTGCCCATCTTGACTCCAGTATACCCCAATGACCATTGCCTATGCCAGCCCCCAGTGATCATTGCTGCTAGCCCCTAGGGACCATCCTAATGCCAGTACTCCAGTGACCATTGTCTCCAGTCCCCCCACTGACCATCACCTCCAGCCCCCAGTGACCATCTCAGTGCCAGCATCCCAGTGACCATTGCCTCCAGTCCCCTAGTAACCATCACCTCCAGCTCCCCAGTGATCATCACCTCCACCAGCTCCCCCCATGACCATCCCAATGCCAGCATCCCAGTGACCATCACCTCTGCCACCCACCCAGTAACCATCATCTTCAGTCCCCCAGTGACTACCACCTCCACCAGCAATCCAGTGACCATCCCATCGCTGCAGAGGCCAAGTGCTGGACATACTCCATGCACTCCACACTCATGGAGTCATCTGGTCCTCATGGTGACTCGATGGTGTCCACTACTAGTGCCCACTTTACAGAGGTGCAAGAGGTGAAACCACTTGCCTGAGGACCTGACTCTCCCACCCAGCTTGGCAGTCCCATCCCTGAAGCCCCCCCTGCCTTTCTCCCCAGCACACCACAGCCACTCCTCTCTGCCTCCACAAAACCTTCTGAACTCTGCCAAGGACCCTGAGTCCCTCCTCCTCCCCATGAGGATCGAGCTTGCACAAGGCCCCCACTGGGCATTGTGCCCCCATGGTGCTGAGTGGTCAGCAGGTGCTCGGTGGGTCCTGAGGGAGGAAGGAGATGACCTCCGAAGTCAACTGTAAATGTGGCACAGTCCAAATATCAAGCCCTCACCTGCAGGTTTCTTTCCTTCAGTATATTATTTTGAAATGTTAAGGGTCTCCTGAGCTTGGAGAGGAGAAAAAAACCTTTAAAATGCAGTTCTGTGAGATGAGCCAACATCAGGATGCGCCCCCTCTCCCCCGCTCGCCCCACCAGCCCTTAACCACCAACCTGTGAGTCATTTACTTTCACAAAAAATGATACCATTATTACTGACAGCAAAGCCAGGCCCTGAGAGCTAAAAATTGACCAACATTATAATTTAAAGCTAACGTTTTTTTCCAATCCTAAAAAGACAGTGGAAATACACACTACTAACCTTAAGTTAGTTGCATTCTTAGATTACTGACTAATGCCTTTTCCTTACTGAATTCATTTGCTTCCAGTTAAAATGCTGAAAGCATCAATGTTATTTTTTCCTCAGAATTTAAAAGTCAGAAGTCAACATTACTTAAGGTGGAAAATGCAGTTTACATTCAGCGTTTCTCATAAATCAATGCTGGCCAAATAAATTTTAACTTCTGCATGTATTTCCCACCACACTAAAGCGCAGAGGCCCTGGGCTCTGCATCCACCGCCATGCGCTACCTCGCTTCTGGACGAAGACACGGAGCAGGGGACAGGCGCTGGACACGGCCTTGCAGAAGTTGTCATCGTTGTTGATGGGCAGCAGATCTCCATGCACATCTGCGTAGCCGATGGTCACGTCGGTGCTGGCGAGCCGGTGGGTGTGCACCACCAGCTGGTAGAAATCCTCAAACCTGCCCGGCCTGTGGCGGTCCAGGGAGAACCTCCGGAATTCGGCCCCAAACTGCAATGGAAGAGATGGGGTGAACGGAGAGCAGGGAGGGAGGTGCCCTGGCGGGGGAGTGGGGGCGGGGACCAAGGGAAGGGGAGTGGCGGGGAGAGGACATGCTCTCCCTTAGGCAGGGAGAGGGGCTCTGAAGGGCGATGGGCTGATAGGTGTGAGTGGTGGGGAGACCTGGAGGGAAAAGAGAAATTTCAAAATTAATTGCAAATATGGCCAAGTGCTAGGAGACAGGAGCTCAGGGCCTCACAGGGCCCCCTCCTCGAGGCAGCAGGCCTGGAGCCTGGGGGAGCTGGGACATCGGGACAAGTCTGCAGGAGGAAGGGGTGACCAGGGTCCAGACACAAGCCCAGGGAGGGCTCAGATGACTCAAAGGCTGGAGAGAAAGCAAGGCAGATAAAACTTCTGGGCTTTTTCTAGGGGCAAAGGGGGGTTCTGTAAGAGTTTTCATCTTAAGCAAGGAAGTTTCTTGATTTGATTTGCATTTCAAAAGAATCAGAAGTAGAAGCAAAGTGGAAAGACAAAGAAGCTGGTAAAAGGAGCCTCAGGAATTGGGGAGATGTGATGGACGAGTGGGCACTGGGAGGTTACAATTACTGCGCACTGGACTGGCACTCAATGAAAAAGCTAATGACCCTGGGAACTGTGACCAGCTGGCCAGTCTTTGGGAAGGAAACGCCGGAGCTGGGAAACGCCGGAGCCAAACCTCCCGCAGCACTGGCCACTCAGATACCTGTAGAGCTACAGGCCACCTAAAGAAGGAGGCCTGAGCACTGCCCCTACCTAAAAATGGTGGTCTGAGCACCGCCCTTACCTGAAGAAGGGGGTCTGAACACCGCCCCCACCTGAAGAAGGGGGTCTGAGCACCGCTCCCACCCGAGGAGCCACCCCTGGATGCGGGCTGCTGGCTCGGGGCTTGTCCTCACCCAGCGAAAGGGGCCTGTGACTGCAGCAGCAGTCATGCTCTGCGGTACAACCGACACTAACTTTACTGGCCCCCAAACACACAAAACTAAATGTCTAGTGATTACAGCATCTAGACCTGCCAACTCAAGCGTGTGGTTTTGTGCAGGTCTCGAACTTAAGCTGCACCAGTGTCACCTGGTGCAAGCAGATCAGGAGTTTGCATTTTTAACAAGTCCCAGGAAGCTGAGGCTGTTGGTCTGGGGATCTTACTGGTTTTAAGAGAAATCAACTTCCAGAGATCCTCTTTGCTAACGCTGATGTGTCTGAGCACCAGTCACTTCTCCACCTCTTTCAAAATAGGATTCTCCACCGACCACAGGAAAGCAACCTCCACCATCCCACATGGCCCCAAGGAGTAAAGATCTCCCAGGTGCAAACAACGGGATGATTCAAAATACTGGTTTGGGGAAAGCCACCTTTAATGACTAATCAAAACACCTAAGGCCTGCCAGAAACTGACTTTCCCTACACATATGTGTCGGGTGAGGAGAGAAGCGTGTCCCCACCCTCAACTCCCCTCCTCTGTGAGAGGGGCCTAGGGCAGCACAGCAGAGCAGACCCTAACATCCCCCGATCCATGTTTAAAGATGAGCAATTTTCTTCTCAATATTTATCCCAAGGATGCGGCTGGGGAACAGGTCAGATTCTTGCAAACACAGGGCTGGTCTGGGGCCCTGAAACTTCTGACACCACAACAGGAGTTCTCCACGATTCCTTCAGATTCAGCTACACTCAGATCATGAGGTGTTTACTTCAGTAACGGCCAAGCCCGCTCTTTCCCATCTCTTACATCCAGTATATACTAAATTCCAAACCAATTAGTCTTCAGCAGTATATACCTTTCTTCTCACTGAATACACAAGAAGAGTTTAATCATAAAGTCTAACGAAACTGACGAGTATTTCTGACTTTTATATGGAATTCTTACTTAAATATTCCCCCAATCTGGGTACAAGTTCAGAACATGCATTCGTATTCCCCTCAGGACTTCCAAGCCTCCCTCCCTCTCCTTACTTGGCATCGTGCTTCTTATGCTCCATTACAGCAACTACAGCTTAACTAAAGACAAACTGCATGCAGTAATACACGTCAGTCCTACAGCATTTAAATCGTAACTGCATTTCGTAACTAACCTAAGATGCATCTCAATTTATTTCTCAGTACTTTTAATAAATTTCCTTAGAATGTATTAGCATGTTAATTTTAATTACAAAACAAATTCAGACATTTTCCTAACAGTATGTCTGATTTGTGTTTGGCGACGAGGTTGGCTTTGCCAACACAGCTATATGGCGAACATGCTTCATGCACTGAACGAGCTCTGAAGTTTAGGCAAAATTAGATTTAAAATGTGTTAGGATAAAAGTGTCTTATTGAAAAAAACGGGTTGGCATGGGGTACTAAATTAATATTTTTATTTTCCCAGTATCCCAGATTGTTGTTGTTGGGAGCTGTCGGGTCAATTCTGACTCATAATGACCCCATATAACAAGTAGAACTGCCCCATAGTTTCCCAGGCTGTAACCTTTACAGAAGCAGGTCGCCGCCTCTTTCCCCCGCGAGGTGGCTGGTGGATTTGAACCGCCGACCTTTCAATTAGCAGCCAAGCACTTAACCACCGCGCCACCAGAACTCTTGTATAGCAGATTAAACAAGGTGAAAGAATTAGCAGGTGTAATTCATTGTCATATAATTCTTGGTAAAGCCCTTGTTTTTGGCATACTTGCCAAAAATGGAAAAAGTGAAGGACTCTAATGACTTACAAGTTAGGTGATTTCCAATTCTTTGCTTTCAGCAAAATTGAAAGAGGTCATAATTAAATTGTCAGCTAACAGATTCTTAAGAATAGACTACTTTTTTTTGGCATGTGAATTGGTGAGTATTCAAAGAATCAAGCACCTCATGCTGGCATGCTCTTCCACGCCCACCTTCTCATCCAGGTGAATGAGGTTTCCCAGTGTTGACGTCCATAACAACGAAAAGCAGCAAAAGAACTGATGCTGGCCTTGTCTCATTTTAGCAATTAACAATTCTTACTAAGTAAAGGATTTTTAAAATGTTTACATCGGATGGCTAATAATGATCAACATTTGTAACTGTTTTGATCAACTGTGATTTAACAATAGTGTAATGACTCAATCTAAAAATATCTTTAAATATGGCCACACGAAAAAAAATCAATTTACATACATATTTTTGAGCCACCAAGCATAAATTAGCGTAATCAAACATAAATTATTAGGATAAAATTCTCTTGGGGGAGTAATGGAAACAAGAGATCAAAGAGAAAAAGGAACCATGTAAAATTCCTGATCATTAAAAAAGAGCTTGTTCATCCTATTTTAAAATGGATACTAGCAGGATGAAATCACTCCAGCATTTAGATTTCACTGGCTATATTTAAAATATCATATGGTAAGTTTTATTTTTAAATGAAATATTTACAACCTGCTGGAAATTATATCCTTTGCAACTATTTATATTTATTTTTAAAAATTTAAATGTCAACTTAAAAATATATTATTTCCTCTAGTGTAGTTTTTCAAAATTATTTTAGGGGTAGGTGATGTTTGAAGACCACTGCATTAGGTATAGGGATCACTATGAAAGTGCCTAAATCACCACAAAAGGTCAACAAAGAGACTTACCATTGCCCCAATATTTTCACTGTCTCTTAATACTTCCATGTGTCTGTGTGTTCATACAGCAGGGCTTAAGACAGGAGTGATGGCTTCAACATCTGCTGAGATTCATTCATTCCCATACTCAAACTGCAAACTAGCTTAAAGGGAGCTGTCCTGTTCTGGGAAGTCATCTCCTCACTCCAAACCAGTTATGAACCTCAACTGATGCTCAATACTTGCTAAGAAAAGTTTTAAGAAACGCTTACTTTGCTGTGCCTGGCCTAGGTCAAAAAAGACAAGCCAATAGACTACTGCATCAAAAAACTCATTTTTCCACCTTTCATACCCACTCGCAGTCTCTACCATTTCCCATAAAAGGATCCAGGGCGCCTTGGCAAAATGGCTAATTCTAGGTATGGGGCAAGAGATGTGCATGAGCCTGTGAATTTCATCCTTCTAGAAAACAAGGAATCATTAAAGACTACTAGGGTTATAGCAAAAGGACTTGGGAGCTAACTTGAATAATCTTCCACCAGCCAAAGATTTGCTCATTTGTGTGTCTGACCATCAATGAGGATAATAACTGTTATGGATTGGAACACATCCATTTTTTATAAATTCATTTGTTTATATTGTTAAAAAAAAATTTGTCACCTTCTGGAGGATGCTAGGGAACCAACTCAATATTTTGAATACTGGTAAATACAGAGAAAGAATTAAGCTTTTTTTTAAAGGAAGTGTTATGGATTGAATCGTGTCCCCCCAAAATATGTGTTGTGAATACTAACCCCTATACTTGTGGTTACAATCCCATTTGGGAATGAGTTTTCTCGGTTACATCAATGAGGAAATATCAGTATAGGGTGTGTCTTAAATCAATCTCTTTTGAGATATAAAAGAGCAGATTAAGCAAGCAAGCAAGCACAAACAGAGAGGAAGATACATGCAACATGATCACCAAGGAACCTAGGAACAGAAGCTGAAAAGAGACAAGGACCTTCCCCCATAACAGACGGAGAGAGACCGTCTTCCTCTAGAGCTGGCACCCTGAATTCGGACTTCTAGACTTCCAAACTATAAGAAAATAAATTTCTGTTTTTTAAAGCCACTCACTTGTAGTATTTCTGTTATAGCAGCACTAAATAACTAAGACATAAAGATTATTAAGAAACGGAATATCTGAATAGACCCATAACAAGCAAAGACATTGAATTAGTAATTTAAAAACTTTCCACCAAAGAAAAGGCCAGGACCACATGCCTTCGCTGGTGAATTCTACCAAATGTTCACATCTACCAATTCTTTACAAACTCTTCCAAAACTAAAAGAGGAAGGAACACTTCTCAGTTCATTCTACCAGGCCAGTATTATAGTATTACCCTGATATCACAAGGGTACCCTGATAACCAGAAA